CCCCCATTCTTCTGTTCCGGGCCTTCTTCTAGATTGTTTGCTTTGCATGGATGCCCAGCGAGTATCTGGGGGTCACTCTCACTACATGTCTGGCTCACCTGCTGTCCTAGTGATCCCCAACACCCACACCTTTTGCACAGTTCTGTACACCCCCTCCAATTGCATCGTCTTCTCCATTTTTGTAGAGTCTCCAGATTTGCCCCCCTTTTTGGTGGCAGTATCCTAGAAAGTGCTACGGGGGCTTTGAGAGCTTAGAGTAGGAGTCAGGAAGCTTTTGTGCAAACCCCTTTTCTGCCTTTAACTAGCTGTGTGACTTTAGGGAAGTCTCTGGGCCTCAGTTTCCTCCTCTGTAAAAGGAAGGGATTGGAGCAGATGAACTCTAGGGGACCACCCAGTTGGAACAACTTGGGAATGTGCTATTTATTCCCTGTCCAGGGTGTGCTCGTCTTGTCCTTTTCCCTTCCAAATCAGCCCAGGTTGATAAGCAGAGCAGGGAAGACCAGTGAGCAGCTTCCTGAATGGAAGCGTCTGTTTCACTGTGAAGGGTCATCATCTGTCACTGTCACTAAGGCTGTATGAAATTAATTTGGCTTATGACCATCAGTAGATCTGGGCAAACATTGGGTCTGGGTTCCTGCTCTATAGAAATGGGGGATGTGTGGAGATTCAATCACATTATCATTTATCTACAGGCGCTAATGGATTTGGTTAAAACCCAAGATATTAGGGAGCTGTCACAGAAGATGGTTAATAAATGTTTGTTGAAGTAAATTGCTCTTTACTTTTGCTGCTTGCTTACATTGGCCTCTCTCTGATCTCCACCTAATAAGGGAGATGCCAGCTAGCTATCAGGGCTGGCCAGAACCTTCTGATGGCTGACTTTCGGGGTCTCCCTTGGCTCTCCTGTGTTGCCCAGTTTCTAGAGCTGAACATGGCTGCTGCTGCCGCCATTTGGGGCAAACATGCTTGAGGCAAGCTTCCTGAGGAATTGGCCATCTTGTGGGCATCAGGGAAGCAGATGATGTTTCAGGCTAGGCTAGCCAGTGCCCGGGAATCCCTTGGCTCCCCAGGCCAGGGTCGCTTCCCAGACTGATCCCGTGGGCTGACAAAGAAGGGGTCTCCTTAATGGGCCACCTCTGACTGCATTTTTTTCTTAACTTTCTGTTGCTTTGAGATCACCAATCCTAGTCCAAACTCCTCATTTGATAAATAAAGAAACTGAGGCCTGGAAGAGGGAAATGATTTGTTTGAGGTCATTTCAGGGAAGGGGAAGGCGATAAACATCTATATAGCCCCTACAATGGGTCAGGCACTGTGCTAATATTATCTTATTTGATCCTTACAAGAACCCTGGATGGTAGGTGCTATTATGATCGCCATTTTACAGCTGAGGAAACTGAGGCTGACAGAGGTTCATTGCCTTGCCCAGGGTCACACAGCTAATAAGTGTCTGAGGCCAAGCTTGAACTGGAATCTCCGTGACTCAGGCCTGGCACTGTCTCCCCTGTGCCTCGAGTCAGTTCATTTCAGAGTATTCTACCCATCCTGCCACACAGCTGATGGCTAAGTTGGTGAAGAAGGCTTATCCAGTGGGCGGGGCCCTTTGCTCAGGTGAAGCCTCTGGGATGTGACTTTTCACCAACTATTCATTCACAAGTCTTTATTAAGTACCTACTAGGTGCTAAGGTCTAGAGGTTCACAGAGGACAGTGGTATAGGTTAGACTAGGTCCCTTCCAGCTCCCAAATTCTGTGATTTCATGAACTGAGGTCCCTGATTCCAAATGATGGGCACTTTCCACTGTACCTCATATCCTCTGACTTTGAAGGTTGATATAGGGGACTCAGCAAGACCTCCCCCACAATTTCTCAGGGTTTTTGAGTCAGCAGAGTCAGCTTTGGAGGTGCTAGACCCATGGACCTGGCTCAGTATACATTCTTTCATTCTTGCTATTTGTAATAAAGGGAGGAAGGATGAAAGGATATTGCCTTTGGATGCCCTGCATTCAGGTAAATTGCCATCACAGTGAACTTCTGGCTGGTTGCCTGAACCTGTGTGAGCTGTGTGATCCCGGTTGGGGGCAGGTAGTGTTAGAGGTGAGGAGGAGTGCTTTCCTGGTCAAGGACTTAGCCTCCAATAAGTTAGCACTGGGACCAACAGCATGTCATAAAAGTAAAGCTACAAGGAGTATAAACCCCTCTAATGATCGAAACTAGTAAAATTCTCTGCCTAGTCCTATGGAATGAACTTAAAGGTACTGCACACAGTGATTCCGGGAGGGGCTCCCATGGACTATAAAGTGCATACAGCTCATAAAAAGGAGAGCTCGCCTGGGTCATAAATTCCATTGAAAACAAATATGCTAACTAGAATCGTTAATGAATCATTGAATTAACAGTAATTTGATTAGAATTTGGAAGGGCTTTGGGGGAAAGAGTTAAGGGGCCCCAGCTCTCTTCGGAAAGTTGTCCAAAGATGTTTGAGTTGCTGTGATTTTTTTGGAGGGACAGAGGGAGGAGTGGGGCTTTTTTTTTTCTGTTGTAGCAAGCAGAGGTTTTCTGATCACCTCAGGACTCCACCAGTAGGTAAGCAGACTATTTGGGCTTGTGTTAAAGCGGTTCTGACTCTCAGCTGCACCCACCTCTCGTTCGACTAGGGAGTTTATTGATTCATAGAAGACATGTACTTCTGTGTCATTGCCACCCTTGGTCTGATTTTGGGCAGTGGAGATGCCCATACAACTGTGACCCAGGCAGTTGGCTTTACCCAGGCTCCCGGTCAGCCAGTAGAGGGTGGTCCGAGGCTCTTAAGGGCTGTGCTGTTTTATACATGGGTACACGTGAGGAACCAGAGTCTTAGGTGAGCAGAATCATTTGCCTTTGAGTCTCTGAGCCATGAGTGGGCCAGAGAAGGATGGACACACAGAGTTGGGTAGAATCCTAGCCCTTCCTGTGTCAGACACCACATTCATGTAGTTATCAGGAGCTCTGGCTAACTGCCTCTGTCTCCACGTCCCATTCTTCACCCCTTTAGCCTTTGCCAAAGGCCCGGTCTAAGCAGCCAGCATCATTGCTACTGTGATGGGAGCCCTTCTTTCTTAATGGAGCGCCATCCTAAACTTGTGCATGAACCTCTTTTGATGAGGACCTCAGATCTTCACTCCCAGAATTCATAAGGCAGGCATTGGGGTGGAAGAGATATTGGACTCAGAGTCACCGGGAAGCCTATGTTTAGATCCCACTCCTGACACCATGGGCAAAGTCTCTTCATTTCATTCATCCTCAGTTTTCTTAACCATAAAACAGTGACAAGAATACCCGGACTCCCAACCTTCCAGGGCTCTTGTTGTGGACATCAAATAGAATACCAATCTGAAGTGATTTACAAACTTGAAGCGCTGTAGAAATATCAGCTCTCTTTGTCACTCTATTTCATCTTTTTGGATGGGATTCAGAAACAAATAGTCTTTGGCCAGTTACTGTCCTGCTACAATTCTCCAATGGCCACTGGTCTGTAAGTGATGCTACCAGTGGGAAAAAAATCATTATTTTTTGTGGTCGAATAAATAGTATTTGGATGTAAGATCACTATCTGTAGGCTCATAAAAACACCCTTGATATGCCTTCCTAGTATACAGGACAGGGGGCAACTGGCCCGCCCACCTCATTTTAATCTCCTCCTCTGCTGTGTCTTTGTGTTTTGAAAGCTTTTCAGAAATTCAGAAATTCCTGAAATGCGGTTGGGAAACCACACTGAAGACTGGATGTAGGAAGAAGCTAAGAGTTCCCTCACTTGCCCATCCAGATAGGATTCTTCTCGGGGAACACAGAGCATCTTGTCTCGGGAGAATGCAAAGTGGCTGCAGGGGCACAGGGGCTGCGTCTTCCTTTGGGGTTGCTGTGACTCTAGCTGTCAGGATGAGGGAAGGGCCTCATTTTACAAAGAGTTTGTCTAGCCAGCTCCCTGGAGACAAGGGGTCATCTGCCACATATTTTGTATAAATTAATATATGCTTGGAACATTGTCTTACAGATTGACTGGCGATCAGCCAGTCAGTGAAAGCGAGATAGATTTGAACCCATGTCTGGGAGGATTCCAAACCTGGGAAGTGAGTTGGGGGGGGGTGTCAGAGAGTGAAGAAAAAAGGTGTAGGCAGAGTGGGGTCAGCGAAGATCCTGGGCATGGTAGAGTCTCCCAGACTTGACAAGGCCAGAGTCTTAAGGCCTGTCATTTGTACACCTGCGATTTGCGTCTCTGGAGAATCCTTAGCTGTCTGCTCTGACTGCTTGGTGCCACGTGATGCTGCTAAGGAGGTTGTAGCCTGAGGAGAAGGCTCTGGGGCCCACCCTGGGTGTGTGTGGGGGAAGCAGTATCAGGGGAGATTGGTGAATGCAGGCAGTGGAGTCTGGCATTTGGCCCACAGCCTTGTTAAGTAGGTGCTTTGAAAAGGTCTTTCCTTTCACCCTACTCTAGGCTAAATAAACAGAGATCTCATTTGTGTAAAGGGGCAGCTTAATGAGCCAGAGCAGGTAACAATATCAGTAAGTATTGAGAACGAGTTTTGCCAGGGATAACTATCGTGTGGGGAACTGGATTGCTTATGTATGAAACAATACCCCCGTCTGCTCCATTTGGGCTAAGCTGGGGAGAAGAACTCCAAGCCTGGAAAGGACCTTGGAGAGATCTCTTGGGGTTGGTTGGGCCCTTTGCTGCCAGGGGGGCTTTTCTAGTAGCTGAAGAAGGCCCTCCAAACCCTCCTACTCTGTTCTGCCTGAGGCTGGCCCTGGGGGACCGTGCAGGATGGGCCTTTTAAATACTCTTAGAAAATGCAGGAGCGCTGTCCGGAACACTGGCCTTGGAGTCAACGTGCCGGCAAGTTGAGTCAGTTTCCTCGTTTGTAAAATGGGGCTAATGACAGAGGTCCTACCTCCGTTCCAGGGCTGAAGCAGAAGCTTTCAGGCCCCAAAGTTTGATATCAGTGTTCTATTCTTTGCATCCCAGATTGAAGATGGAGGCAAAGCTGCCCTGTCCCGGAAGATGAGAATTGGGGATGAGCTGGTGAATATCAATGGTACCCCGTTATACGGCTCCCGACAAGAAGCTCTCATCCTCATCAAAGGTTCCTTCCGCATCCTGAAGATGATTGTCAGGAGGTAAGGTGCAAAGAGGCCCCTTGTGCAGGGTTGCCTCAGACCCGAGGCAGTAGCTGTGTGACTGGTCGCTGGATCTCTGCACCTACAATTTACTGGCTCCCAGTTTGAATTAGGGTAACCCGTCTGCTGGAACTCGGGCTGCTAGGGAAGGTTTGGTTCTTAATGGAAAGATTTCCCCAGAGGCTAGTTCAGGCTCAGTGGTACAGATTGGGATCTCTCTGGGATTCTTGTGCCTCTGTTGGCACATTGGAAACCTGGGAAGTCCATCCACCATTGCAGATTTCGACCTGCCTCTAACTTGGGAGGGGCTTGAGGCTCAGAAAAGGTAATTTGTCGATGGGCAGTTGTTTTGTAGGCTTTAAATCAGAATTTGAACCCAGGTCGTCTTGATTCCAAGCTCAGTAGTTTGTGTGTTATACCATACCTCCTCTTCTCGGTCAGTGCAACCTCTACTCAATGGCTCGAACCATCACCTGGTTCTTTTCCGATTCTAGGGGTAGCACTCTGCCCATCTCGTTCTCACTCCATAATTGGCCTGTTTCCTTCCTCTCTGGGGATGTCCTTAGTGCTGCCCTTTCCATTCTGACATTTGAGCCAGGTGCCACCGGGCCTAGGCTGTGTGTGCCTCCCACCCACCCACCATCTGGCTGCTGCCGCCACTGACTTTTGGTTAGATTGGTTAGAGTTTGAATTCATCTGAGATCAAGATAATCCAGTATTTGCTCTTCCTTCACCTAGGGTGTCCCACATGGCAGGAATAGCCTCCTTCTTCCCCTCAGCCCTCCTAGAATTCACTTATCTTTGCAAATGTCATTTCTCCTAGTAGAGAGTACACTCCCTGAGGTCAGGAACTACTTCTTTGTGGTTTTGCTACTGTATCCACCGAGCCTGGTCCGGAGGAGGAGCTTAGTAAATGTGCACTGCTTTGAATTCGCAGTCCCTTAATGACATCGTCAGTCCTAGTTATTGCACTTCAAGGTTGACCTAGAGGTGGATCTTCCAGCATCCCCAGGAGAATATGGGCATCAAACAACAGCTCTGTCAAGCATCTACATCCAGTTCCTCCCTTTCTTCCTTCTTTTAGGAAAGTCCGGCCATTTGGCCGTGTCCAGCCGTGTGGCATCTCTCCCCCAGACAATGGCTTAGCGGTCACAAGGGCCCTGGGCTGTTGCCTGGTGACTTAGGCGCATGCAGGATGGCTTCGTGCCCCTTGCCGTCTCCTCAGTCATCTTGGTTTTAGTGACCTGTGAAGCCACATGCTCAGTGTGTCGTCCCAGGCTGAAGATGATTCGCTTCAGTTGACAAATCAGAAGTAGAGCAAAAGTTGAGTTGTGTCCCGGAAAATGGAGAAGAAGGAATGTCAGGGATGCCCTCTGCCACATTCCTTACACGTGCAGCAGCCCTGCTCTAATGTCCAAAGGGCCTTTCTTCCACTGAGCTGGACACCCCACCCTTGCCTCTGGGTTTCTTTAGATTATATTCAGGCATCATTCCAGCCTGTTGGGATTGCTTTGAGTCTTGACTTGCTTATCCAGTGCCCTGGCTTTCTTTCTCAGCAGCATGTCTTCAGAAAAGTTGGTCAATGTGCCATCTATGCCTTCATTCAGCTGGTTCTGCCTTCTTTTTGTCATTGCCTCCTTTGATCTTTGTCTCCCCATCGGGTCAATCCATTTTAGGTCCTCGGCGTTTAGCCAAAGCTCCATTTCCTCTGCCTGCTCAGTTCTGAGCCTGCCTCCTTGTCCAAGGGACATGCTACCCAGCCAGTTACACGGGTGGGTGACCTATGGTTTTTAGCCACTTTGTTTCTCTGGTACGACTATTAGAACAGTCTAGTTCTTTCCAGGTTAGGGGACCTTGTGTTCTTCTGGGATTGGATGTGAATAGAGCCCCAGGTCTTCCTCAGGCGTGCTGTCTACATGGGAGGGAACCCAGGCTGGGACTTTCTGTAGGACTCAGTATAAATACCCAAGAGCAGGGGCGGGTGTGGAGGAGAAGGCCTCTAGCTGTACATGGAATGGGATTGGACCAGCCTCTTGTTTGGAGCAAAGCGGGGGCAGGGTGAGCTGCCGACAGACAGATTCAAGTGCTTTGGGAGGTAGTGAGAGTCGAGTGAAGGGGCCCTTAGAGGTCACCAAATTCAACCTCCTGATTTTACAGAAGAGCTAACTGAGGCCCTTCCGACTTACCCAGAGTCACATAGTGTCTGAGGCAAGATTCAAACCCAGATCTTCGGGATTGCCAAGTCTGTTCACTAGGCCACCCTGCCCATCTCATTGCCTTCCTTCAGGTCTCTTCTGAACTCCTGGGCAGTTCTCTGAGCCCAAGTACGTGCCCTGAGAAGAGACTCTGGGATGACTTTTTTGGGCTGAGCTTGCCCCCTTGTGGTAGGACTTAGCCTGTGCATTTTCTGTGCGCCACTTTCAGGACCAGTTTCCTGTTTTGTTTCTTCCAGCTAATTATTAACAGCAGACATTTCCATAGCTAAGTCCTTTTCTCACCACGATAATGTGGTACAGGTATTGATATTCTCATTTGAAAGATGAACAAGGGGGCAGCTAGGTGGCGCAGTGGATAGAGCACCGGCCCTGAAGTCAGGAGGACCTGAGTTCAAATGCAGCCTCAGACCAAACACTTGACACTTACTAGCTGTGTGACCCTGGGCAAGTCACTTCACCCCAATTGCCTTAAAAAAAAAAAAAGAAAGAAAAAAGAAAAGAAAAAAAAAGACGAACAAACTGAGACCTAGGGAATTTAAGTGACTTGCCCAAGGTCACACAGCAGAAATCCTATGGTTTGAAATTTTGAGCCTGAAGGGACCACAGAGGTCCCTTCATTTGACAGAGATGGAAACCAAGGCCCAGATTTGGGGGGGAGGGGGCAAGGAATAAATGTCAGAACTGACATTTGAATCCAGACCCTCTTACTCCTAATCCAGAGTTCTTTCCATTATGGCATGCTACTTCTCTTCTGCTTTGTGAATGAGACCTAGAACCCCCGAGGTCCAAGGCCAAGTTCATCCTTCAGCTGAGGGACAACAGAGAGAGTGTGGAAGCCAGGAGTGGCCAGACCACTAGCTGGCATCCTTGGCCCTGGTCTAGTCTTCCCCATTCACTTAGAATCGTTGTTTTAGAACGTCATGTAGTCCAACCCCCTGGAATGTCTAGAGTAGGGCCTGAAGGGATGGGTTGAAGACTTCCATTTTCTCATCTGTAAAATGGGGCAGTTGGACTGGTCAAGGGAAGGGAAGGGAATTGCCCAAGGTCACATGAGTTGAAGTGTCAGAAGTGGGATTTAAACCGGGATCTGTTGACTCTGGAGCCAGAACTCTTTGCTCTGTACAAAGCTGCCTGCCATGGTCTCAAACCCTATGAAAATAATGGCTCATACTGCTGTCCATTTGTAGTGAGCTTTTAAAAGTGTCTCATCTGAGTATTGTTGATAACAAGGAAGAATTTGGATGAAATGAGCAAATAAGCGTGTTTAATAAATGCTTGTGGTATAGAAGTGAACTGAAAGATGGCGGTTTGATTACAGTCCATGTGATTCAATTTTGACAAGTGGAAACAAATTATGTAGAAAACTCTTGGGCTTCCCCCTCCAGCAGGCTAGGCCTGGCCTGGAGGTCACGGTCAAGGCCCTCTAGGACCTTTGCTCTGCAGAGACTTCTTTTCCTCTCACTGGTTTTAGTCAGTCAGTCAAAAAACATTGATTAAGTGTCTACCATGTGCCAGGCACTGTGGCTAAGTGCTGGGGATACAGAAAGAGATGAAAGGCAGTCCCTGCCCTTAAGGGGTTTATCGTCTAAAAGAGGAAACAACACACCAACAGATCTATACAAAGTGGCCTACAGACAAGGATCGCTAGGAAGTAGTAAGAGAAGGCAGACACGAGGCTGAAGAGGGCTTGGGGAAGGCTTCCTGGAGGAGCCGGGATTTGAGTTGGAATTGAAGGAGGCAGGGAGGTGGGTGGGGAGTGAGGTGTGGGAAGACTGGAAAGGGAGGAGGGGGCGGAGCAAGAAGGGCATTGAATGCCTAGGAGACCATTGTATTTGCTCCTGGAGGCCCTAGGAAGCCCCTGGAGTCTACTGAGTAAGGGAGTGACCTGGTCAGACCTGGACCTGTGCTCTAAGAAAATCACTACAGTGGAAATTCGAGTAGTTGAAGCATATCCAGCAAGCCTTTAATAAGTGTCTGTCACGTGCAGGTACCGTGTTAGGTGTACAGAGGAATACAACATGTATACAGAGACCAAAGTAAAATAGTCTCTGCCTTCAGGGAGCTTTTGCTCTTCCTCCAAGGGGCCCCAGCATGGTCCTAAATGTGTACAGTAGCAGGAGATGAGGAGGGAGAGAGCACGGACCCCTGGTGAGGAGTGGGGTGCCCTGCTGGCCGCCAAGGCACCTTTACTAAGCTTAGAAAGCAGACTGGGCTTCTCGGAGGCAGCGCTGAGGATGTGCATTCCCAGCAAGGACCCAGCTTGTGGGAAGGCAAAGGCGTGGAGGTAGGAGACAGGGAGTGGGGAGAGAGCCAGGTGTCCACTCTGGCTGGAGGCAAGGGCTTTCAAAGGAGAATCACCTGGAGCAAGTCTGTGGAGGTGGGGCAGAGAGGGAAACCTTTAGAGAGGCTCGAGGAGATGCTTTTGGCAGCTCTGTCAAGGTTTCAACCCGAAGGGGAGAGGCTGCTAGGAGGCTGGAAGGGGCCTCAGAAGCGAGATTTCCCAGCAATGCCAGGGGCCAGAATGGGCCAGCTGCACAGGGGGTCGTTTTCTCTGCAGACAAAGATGGCTGCCTCCTGGCCAAGCCTCCATCCTGGGCACCTCCTGCCTGACTTCTTCTGGAAGGGCCCAGGGAGGGATGAGCCCCAGGCCCTTTTCACTTCCCCTTCAAAGTCCATTAGCTCCCACTGGATTCAATCTTCAGGGTGCTTCCAGTTCCCTGTCCATTTGTGGAGCCTGGCCAGCCTGACACCCTGGGAGTCCAATTAAACCTTCCACACCTGGCC